TTGATTCGAAAACGGCTATCCCGCCGCATTCAAAGTGTACACTTCTCGTTTTGTGCAGCCTGTTTGCGCACTCCTCCTTGACACCGCACCAATGGCCGTAATGATCGGCCCAAGCCGTTTCGCCACAAAGTTTGCATGCCCTCTTCTCCAGCATGCCACCAACGACCGCTCCGCACCTCACATCAGTATGGATGCGGTCAACTTCATCGATGTAGAGCACCGAGGTCTCATCATAGCTTTGTTGTCCCTGGGTGTTGAATTGACAACTTCGGCACAGCTCTATGCCTTGGATTCTCCCAGCATTGCCCAGGCATCTGCATGACCTCTTCTTGTGGTAGCAGACACTCGAAGGAGCGAACCACGCCTGCCACAGCACATAAATCTGAGGCGCCCTTCTCCTTCTCGTCTGAACCTGGATGGCTTGCGGCTGTGCCGTCGACTCCACTGGTGGTTCTTCATGTGGTTCAGCTTCTCCTTCCGTCCCTCGTCGTTCCGCACTCACCGTTGAGGTTCTATGTGGCACCATTGATGACGATGCGGAATGCCTTCCCTCTTCACGTTGGCCATCCACTGCCACCCTCGAAATCCTCAGCGGCGAAGTCGATGACATCGGGGTAGAACTCTCCCTTGAAGCCTCCCTCCTTCAGTTCACTCTCATAGTCGATGGACTTGGAACTTCTGCCCGTAGAGCTAGCTCTTCGAACTCTCTCCAGGATCTTGATCAAGGCCATTCCCAAAAGCAGCATTAGTGCGCCGAAGACCATGAGAACGTTGTTGGCCTCCTCGATCTGTGTCTTAGAAGTTGAGTTTCCTTGGGCTGCTCCGTGCGCATGCTGTAGTGCTCTCAGTGCCACAACAAGCCGCGCCTTTGGCAGGTTGTAGCGCGCCACCAACTTCACCGGCAAGGCTGCCATTCCTGTTTTGGTTCATTGAATGGTTTGTGACTGTCATCAAAATCCCACATTCACAAGTCATTCAAGTCTTGACTTAGACTGGCCCCTTGAGAATTGAATTTTGCGCCCAACGCGTCGCAGGATTCCGAATGAGGTTCCAAATTGGGGCAGGCGCTGAGTCACGGGACCTCAGGAGCAAATCAGTGAGTCAGACAGAGCAATCTAAAGTAAAGTTTTGCAACATTTTATCCACTCAGGTGCCTACTTATTCTGGCACACTTGTCAATGGACCATACTTTTGGACTGGCTCAGTTTTCCTTTCAAAATACACTTGGAGTGTGATTGCAACTAAACGTGTTCTTCTCCTTGGGTCAACTGAATTGAGGCCAGACCCTGGCAGCTCTTGAGCTGGACCAATCAATGAAGGCGCACTTGGGTGATCATTTGAGGGTAGTACAGGAGGGCAGCTGGGCAGAAGTTGTTTCTTTAACGGCTGCTAGTTTGCAACAGGCAGTGACAACCTCATTTCAGGCAGGTTGCATTGATGATATTACAAAGCTAAAGGTTCATTCACATGTGAGGGTCAATCAGCGCTTGTTCATTGAAACCTTCATGTTTGCAGACGGATGTGCTCAGTCAGGAGGCCAGCTCAGTCAGAAGGCACCCCCACACACACACTCCCAGAAGACGATGATGCCCTGAAACACATAACACACGGTTGCAAAAGGCAGTTAGGTTAATTGGAATATGTCGACTTGAAGAAGCCCCACGTGTTAAAATATGCTGAGATCAACAGCAACAAACCTTCACAGACTTTCACCTGGAACGATTTGATTGCCGAACACGCTGGACTGAACACGCTGCACTGCTGCTATGGGAGAGCAAGGCCATCTTGGAAGAGGAAAGACGGACTATAAGTTGGACAATGTGATGGACCCACAGAAGTTGAAGACGGGCGTTGAAAAAGGAATCTGCAAGTTGTCGGGCATCAAGCTGGTCGTGTACGGGTCGGGCTATGAGTATGAGGACGTTACATCTGCAAATCGATCCTCGGTTGACATTATCTTGTGTTTTGTAATTTGGATTGGCACTGACTCCAATCAATGTGAACTCTTTGGTTGAATGCTAACAGGTCTTCAAAAGAAGTTTCGACTTCAGTGTGACTCATTAATTTGTAACAGTGTGTTGCACGAATTCATCAGGTCTATTTGCTTGTGTGTATGATTCTTCCGAAAATTTTACTTTTTAGACAGTTGAATGATTAAATCAACATGTGTGCATGCAGTGCCTTCATCAAGTCAGCACCTATTCTTTCATGCCACATGTCTCATTGAAATCATTGACATTGTTTTGCCACCATTGAAACAGAAAAGGGTCACAATCACGCTGATAGATATTGATAAGTTTACTTGCAACTTAGACAACAAAAATTTTGAGACTGTCCAAATAAGTACAGTACAGGTGTTTGTGTACAATGACTAAACTCAAGCTGCCCCCATTGTGTGAGCCAAGAATGGGGACCGGGCAACAGAGTCGTGCCGCAAGTTCTGGACTTTATCTATGGATCCGCAACACACAATCGGATTTTCCCCAAACAGTTCGCTGTTAGGGGTGCTCAATTCTTTCTTAACATGTGTCCGCCCTTTGTGTCACTGATGGCGTCCGCCCAATTTCAGTGGCCATGTAGCATTTCTATTAATTTGTCTCCCAGGTCTGTCAATGCTGGTGTCCGCCCTTTTCCGCTGGCCATGCAGCACTTCTATTCATGTGTCTCCCAGGTCTGT